GTCGGCCCACTAGTTTTGGTTATTTGCTAGTAGAGAGATGCCTTAGGGACTGTATAGTCATGTAGGATAGACTGAGGACTCTTGATCTAAGCTCTCTTACCTGTTCCTTGTTTGGTTGTGGTTCTAGAGTAGGATCACCTGTCAGGGTGACTATCTCACCTCTGAGTATATACGGCCATGCATTCCTTGAATTGTTGATATTTAGTATGCTGCTATGCGGTAGTGATCTGTTAGATATGTGTTCTGGTATTGAGTATGATGTCATGCTGTAGTGATCTGTTAGATCTGTTTCCTGGTATTGAATATGTAAATTTGTGGTAACAACCTGTAGAACTGTATTTTATATGTGCTTGTTGGTTATCATCTATGGAGTGCCCGTAGGGACTGTCTGTGGTCATGTAGGATAGCCTGAGGACTCTTGGTCTAGGCTCTCTTGCCTGTTCCTTGTTTGGTTGTGGCTCTAGAGTAGGACCATCTGTTTGGGTGGCTATCTCACATTTGGTTACTTATGGTTACGCATTCTATGGGGGTTATCTGGTAGAGGGACTGTATGTTGTGAGAGGATTAGTAGGAAGTAGTGAGCTGTATGATTACTATTTGCATGTATTATGTTCCTACTTGATCTTGATTGTTCATATGTCGACATATTGTGTTTGGTTTGGGTTGAGGCGGTACTTTGTGCGGTAGGCCAAGATACCCAGTGCGGGCCGAATGTAAGCCGTAGGCACGGAAGCTCGAGAAGAGCGGTAGGGTTGAGGCGGTAGGCCAACAAACCGTGGGTATTCCAACCCAATGGTTGACTAGACCCAACGTGTTTGATAATATATGTGATCTGTTTATATGGTGGTATTTTTGGGGGAAACTCACTAAGCTTTATGCTTACCCAGTTGTTTATGATTTCAGGTATCATCGGTTATTGCAGGAAGGCGATGGCGAGACTTTACACACTCATTAGCGACATTGAAAATTCCGCGTTTCTACAATACTCTGATTTTTAATAAATGTAATTCAGAATAAATGGTTTTCTTATTTAATGGATTAATAAATTGGGAAGGTTTATCTTAATAAAAATGAAAATTTTTTGTTGTGAAATTGGGACATTATAAGTTGGTATCAGAGCCCTGGTTTGAGTGGATTGGATGAACACTTGTGTGAATCCAGTCTCAAACTAGGATCTGAGAGTTTTTGCAAAATGTTTTTGAAAAAGAAATTGTAATGAAAGAGTTGGGTTAAGGGCATGGGCTTGATCTCTTGTCATGTTCTTGTTTGATTATTGGCTTGGGATCGGGAACGTGGACCTTGACTTACCTTTGATTTTTCAAGAAGATGCGGTGTGTTCAGTCAGCCAGAGCTCGGACAGGAGAGTGGTTCCCAAAATACCCATACTTTTCATATTTGCTGAGTTTTGATCTTGATGATACATGATTTGTTAAAAAACATGAATCCTTACCTTTAAATACCTTGAAAACCCTAAAATTTTCATGGGCTTTGGGTTGCACAGTTCTCATGTCGTACGAATATATTCTCACCTCGTGAGGACTCTTACGTCGTCATAATTACTTCTCACCTCGTGAGAACGGGTTTTCACCCAATTTCACTCCAACTTCAAACAGTCATTACTTCTCACGGAAAGGTCTTGACGATCCCCACAACCCTATCTAATTACTTTTGACTTAAAACACATCGAACTAAAATCCTTAGTTCATGAAAGAAGTTTGAAACATCACTTTTCCCATTTTACCTTTTGACTCCAAAACACAAACCAAGGTTTTAATCACTTATCCAACATTATCATCATCCAATAAGGTATAAACCCCATTCCCTTGAATCCCAATGCCTTTACTTGATCCATTTGTTGTCCATAATCCTGGAATAAGAAACTTCTCGAAACAGGATGTTACACAAAACATGATAATATCATTATCAAAGTATTTCCAAGGAAATGTATTTCATTTATAATTAAAAACATGGGATGTCATCGTCAATGCATATACATAAGCATAAATAAGTCTTAATAGGCCTTACAACATCTTATTATACTAATAGCCTACAAACTCCTCAAATCATTCATCATCCAAGTGCATTTGTATCACTACCTGTGATACAAAGAAACTGAGTGGGTCAGGCTTGGGGGCTTGGTGAGCACATAGGGTTTTCAACCCACAATAATTAAGTTCTTTAATTATATACTTCACATCAAATAAGTCACCCGATCATTCATTCCCGTTATTTTCACTTACTGATCCTAAAATATTGATCTCATGGGACCTATCCTAAGGATCGTCATCAGAAACGGGTAGACAATACTGCTTCGGGGATTCCTATAGCAATATGTGTCAATAAGGCAACTGTGGCGTGATAGAGTACATCATATGCGTATATAGTTCATTAACACCTACGAGTTGTGAGCTTGCTAGTGTTTCCACTGGATTGTCTAGAAGAGTCTGTGGTCGTCATCTATACTCTGCTAAATGACTGGTTCATCAATAGTCAAGTCCTCTTATCATCATTTCATCATTTTCATCACCCATTACTACCCAATATATTTTATATAAATATATGAATATATATATATATATATATATATATATATATATATATATATATATATATATATGATTAAATCAAGTAAAAATCATCTAACACTGATATCATGTAATTCAGATAATAGGAACACATAACATTTAATTATCTAGATACTTTATATTTATGTGTAAACTGAAAGTAACTATGCACTCAATTGTTAAAGTGATGACTAGAAAGTTTGACAGCGCTTCGCTTCAGCACTTAGTCTTTCCTTTGACGTGACTTGGGTTCAATTATCACCAGGTCTTAGTTTATTATTACTTATGACCAATTAATAATCTAGATTCTTCAATAATCTCAATGTATACTGAGAATTCTATCAAATAAGGATCAATCGGCAGGAAATTTGGGAGGCAGGACCATTTTGACATATAGCCTTTCTGAAATACAACAACCAAGCCAACGTGACCATTCTAGGTACCTCTCCCGTAAGTAGATCAATCAGTATAATGGCATGGAATTATTGATAAATCTTATTCATAGATTCATAATAACGACTATGAATATAAATATAAATTACACTAAAATAAGGTTCAGTGTAATTTATCTTACAGAGATTTCCTAGACAAAAGTCCGGAAATTTCACTGACAACGCTCCTACTTGATAGCTACTGCTTGCCGGGTACTTCAGGGATCGCAAAGCTTCGCCGGAGTACAGAAATCTAAGGAAAATGGGCTAAAAGGCTGGAATACTCGAAAGAGAAGGCTTGTAGGGGTGTGAGGGTTGAAGCATATACGGAGGCGAGTATTTATAGCCAAAAAAAAAAAGGCAAACGCACCGTGCCTATAAGGGTGCGTGTCGTGCCCTCTGATCTTGTTGGTTCCATTGGTCGTTTTTCCATGTGTCATCGTCCCATTCATCCACATACCCACCTTCTAGAAGGTGTCACGTGTTACCTTCCTATGTTGCCACGTGTCATCATTTCCTTGGGTCGCGTCATCTTGTCTTGGGGGAAAGGGGTTGTCCCGACCATACCATGTGGCGCTCTCTCGTGGCGCCACGTCATCACCGTGCACGTACCGATTCTCGGATTTTCAAAATTGCATAACTTCTTCATATAAACTCCGTTTTTTACGTTCTTAATATCCACGCATAGCTATCGACGGTATCTTCAACTTTCATTTAGACTTCGTCAGCTAATTTTGGCTTTATTTATTTCACACAGGCTTAGACTGTTAAAGCCCGTAGAAAAATATAAAATGTATACTTTTCTCATTCGGCGTCCGTTTTCGACTGTCTCTATATCGTTGTGCTTGCGGCTTCAAACTTTCTAAACCATAATGAACAGTTTTGCTTGCGGTTTCAAAATTTTCAAACTGTATAAAACCGGATCTGACCGTAGGATATATATATATATATATATATATATATATATATATATATATATATATATATATATATATATATATATATATATAATATTAATTTTTATATATAGCTAACAAAAATTTGAAACCCACAAATTAATTTAATTACCCATCTCAATCCTTGGTGTTGTGAAGCTAACCCCTCCAAACGTAACCTAGTAAAATGACTAAATCGATTCTAGATGCCCTCAACTTTCTGGTTTGCATTCTCCATTTCCACTTTGGAGTTTCCATACTTTCGCTCCATTCTCATTTTCACATAGGATTAGGTAGGGAAAAGCACCCAAGAGACAACACAAACACGCTAAATTGGTTCCTTCAAATATTAATCGCTTAGCAGCAAGTTGGCAGTTTTTTTTCAAAATTAATCTTAATGGGCTCGACTCAAATGAGTCTAAAAACCCCAAACCGAAGCCAAACCGTTAGTAACGGTTTAATTTTCAATGGTTCCGCGTTGGTTTTTGATTGACAAAAACCATTACTAACGGTATGTCTTCGGTTTGATCTAAAAACCGAAAAAACCGGACCGTAAAAACCCTATATTACACAAAAGATAAGCTTAACTATAACCAAGTTCAAGGCTAAATCCTTCTTCCACCTTTTTATGTAGGACAATTACATATTTTTTCTATTGACATCGATTCCGGTTAGAGGTGAGAATTATTTTGTTTGGAATCAAAAAACCTAAAAACCAAATCGAAACCAAAAACCAATTTTAGATCAAATCATATTCAAACTCGGTTTTTTGCTTTGGTTGGAGACTAAACAAAATTTTGAATTTTGTACTTTAATTGAGTTTTGGTCACATGAAGTTTAGACTAAATCGAACCAAAAAGCCAAATTGCTTTAATTAATTAATTAATTAAAAATATATTTTATATTTTATATATAAATAAAAATATTAAATAATCAATTATAAAATAAAAGACATTGTAGCCCTTTTAGCATCTTTCCAAATCGAATTGGAATTCGGTTTTTTTGGTTTGATGTAAAAGGATTTGAATTTGGTTTGGTTTAGCTTTCGATTTAAACAGAAAAACCAAAGAAACCAATGAACCCATAAACCACATTTAACAAAAGCAACCACAAAAGACCATTAAACCTTTTTTAAGCTATTACAAGATCCTCAATTTTAACGATCCTCATGTTCAATCAGTAAATGAGCCCTTTCTCAGTCACTACAAATTTCAAGGCGGCAACGGGTGTTTCCCGGCAACCCCTCTACCACTACATTCCTCCGGGAACTCACCCACAAATATTTCCTCAAAACCTACAAAAGCTGTATACTCCAATCCTCCGAAACTTTCACATTAGGTTTACGGATGGTCAAAACCGATGGTCGAACCCCGGTTCGAGTCTGAATCGGACCGAGTTCAACTTCGGTCACACGGTTAGCCGGCTCAATACGCGCACTTTTCGGTTTGGATGTCTGCCCGAGCAATATGATCCTTTCAATGGTGCAATCAGACAAGAACGTGGGCCCCACTGATGCTGATGTGGCTAAGTTTACAGATGTAAGTTTCCCATTGGAGAATAGAAAACGGCGATGAATGTATGCACCGTTTTTGAAGTCGTAGCTCTTTCCATCATCTATGTAAAGCTCGCCTTCAGCCTCTCCTGAACTATCAAGAGCAATCACCTAAAATAGCAACCTACTTGTATCAATTTCTTTATTATAACATATAGGCATCATATATACATATATAGTATACATATATAATATACATACCAGAGTGTAAGGATCATTCTCCATTTGTACTGTGCTTCTACGGAATCTGTCTTTCCTTGGAATTATGGTTCCGGACCTTTGAAACACCGGAATCGCACCCGATGCTTCCACCTTTTGAGTCTTTCCTCCTTTATATGCAGTTCCACTTCTAAGATCATACCAAGTTTCATCCCCTGGTAGATAAACACTTGCATCTTTTGCATTCTGCAACAACACACAAAGTATGATGCAATTAATTGTAAACAAATCGGTGAAAGTAGAATGTTAATTTATTGGATTTAGAAATGAAAGAAAAGTACCTCGGTGTAAATTCCTTGAACTAGAAGGGCGTTTCCGACCATGAACGCCTCATCATTATTGAAAGTGGCTTCATCATTGGGAAATTCCATCCAAAGAGGACGAACAACAGGGACCCCACTCACATTTGCTTCTCTAAAAAGTGTGTAGAAATACGGGAGCAATGTGTATCTTACACGTATAGCCTCCCTCATCAATTCGGTATTCCGATCCCTATTATCAGCAAAATATTTGTAATATAAGTTACAAAACTTAATAATAAAAAACAAGAAACCAACGTATTACAATGTTAACAATAGGGTTTAGAAATGTTGTTTTCAATCATTTATAGAAATTAGAGCGGATTTGATTATTTGAATCGAATAAAACGGAATGGAATTGAATTCCAGTTTCAGCAAATTCCTAAGGAATCTGGCAAATCAAACACCAAACGCCTCCTAGGTTTGCTTTTTTCCATTCCTGGTACTGGTTCAAATGACGAAAATACCCTCTTTGATACATAATATTCTTACCCGAATAACCAAGGTTCTCTTCTTTTTGTATCATGATGTGCATGTCCTCTAAAAAAGGGCAAATAAGCTGCCACTTGATACCAACGAACAAGTAACTCGGTGTCAGGATTACCAAAAAACCCTCCAACATCAGCACCTATAAAAAATCGGAAAATAAAAAAGGTCTAAATGAAAGAAATGGCAGCCTACTTTCACTTATTTGTATATTATATATAGCATATCCTACTTACAATTTAGTAATAAGAAAACAAATCAATGAAAGTAAAAGTATGTGTATGACAAAAAATGTGGAAACCTGAGAATGTTATCCCTGTAATGCCAAGTGTCAAAATCATTGGAACAGAAACCCGAAGCTGTTCCCATTCTGCAGTGTTATCCCCTGTCCAAACAGTCCCATATCTCTGAGTCCCAGGAAAAAAAGCTCTTGATAAAACAAAAGGTCTATCTTTTCCTCCTTCACGTTTCAAAAGTCCATCAGATGTAGCCATATGGAAATAGTAACCATATGCATTATGCAACTCTCTGTGCTCAATATTTCCATAATGTAAAGCATCTCTAGGCATTGTCACCTGGTCAAAATCAAAAGTCAATGTTACAACAAAAAGATTATCCAAATTCCAAACACAAACACCCCTTTGACCCCTAAATGAATCTTGTGTATGACTATTAAAATCGATAAACAAAATGTAACATTTAAAAGGGTACTAAAGTGATATACCTCAGGTCCATTAAACACAGAAGGCTCATTCATATCATTCCAAATATACAATGAAGGAGTTGAACCACTATACTCTGTATATGCAAACTTATCAGCCCACCATGATCTTATCTCTGGATTCACCATATCTATATAAGAAGAGGACCCTGGCCAACACCACCCATCATAATCTTTACCCGTTGCATCCTTCACATAATAACCATTCTTAGAAGCCTCTTTATGTATATGATACCCCTCGTCTCTCTTTATATGTGGGTCCACAATCGTCACCATTTTCCTACCTCTTGAAGCCAAGTCTTTTTGCATTTCTTCAGGGTTTGGAAAAAGAACTCTGTCCCATGTGAAGTATCGTTTTCCATTCGTATGCTCAATGTCAAGCCATAAAACATCATATGGGATATCATGTTCATCGAATTTTGAATCTACATTCTTGACATCTTCTTCATCTCTATAATTCCATCTGCATTGATGATATCCTGTTGCAAATAATTGAGGCATTGCTGATGTTCCTGTTACACTTGCGTATTGTTTGGCTACATCTTTCGGTTTTGGTCCAATGAAAAAGAAGGAATCGATGATTCCAGCTTCTGACATCCATAATGTGTCAATTCTTTTTTGGTCGGAGGGTAAGGAAATGGAGGATTCGGTATCCCAACCAGGGGCAAGAACGTCAATTTGCATTTCAGCTGCGTTTAACCAGAAGAACCCTGAAGTCCCGTGTGATTTCCCATGTGAAAGCATAAAGGGTATTGAACCATAGAGACCGAATGGTGAATCGGTTATATACTCAAAAACATCTAGATTGAATAATCTGTAAGGTTCAGATTGTTCAACACCAGGTCCATTTGTGGGTTTTAGAGAAAGGGTAGTGGCGTGTTCAGGGATACCATAAACGAAATCCGCACCATAGAATGACATATCGAAGCTGATGGATTGTGGGCCATATGGGCGAGAATCGGTGTGACTTCTAAACCTTTCTTCCCAATTGTCCCCTTCTTTTTTAACCCTTAATTGCTCAAAATCAAACAATCCGTGAGAGTTGAAGGACAATACACGGTTACCACTACCTTGTTCCCTAACAAAAACCTCAAATGGATCGCTTCTAAGAACAGCTTCATATCCATCATACAAATAAACGACAAACGAATCAGCAGAATCCCCATTAATTACCTCTTTAGTATGCCGCTGTAACCAAAGTTTTTTGCTTTCGAACTCAGGGAGAACAACATCAGGCACTTCAAAACGTTTCTTTGGTGGATTTTGAGATGGGTCTTCGTCAATCTTCAACCGCAAAATTCCATTCTGATAAACAGATAAAGAAAGGATTAGGGGTTTTGATGCGATTTCTGATGAATCTTCATCAAGGTTTTGTTGAAAGTTGTTCGGGGTTATGAGTTTTGCAGTTAGATCTCCGTTATCTACTACTACATCGGTGGCAATGAGTTTACAGTGTTGGGGTTTTCGTGATCTAGCTCTTTTGCAGAAAGGGGTTTGATCACAGTTCCTGAATTCTTCTTTTTTCCACGAAGAAACGGATTTTAGATGTGAAAATAGGAGAAGGAGACAGAGGAGATGATGAAGAACAACAATGGATTTCATGGTGCTTCGATTGATGGTGTGATCATACTAGGGAGTATTGAAGATCGAAATGAAATAGGTCTTGGGGAGCAGTCAGTCGGAAGAGTAAACTAGTAGGAATGGAGCTTAGGGATTATATATTTACATTTAGGCCTCCCAAGTTTCGTAACAGTGTCGAGGAGATATGATTTCAAACCCAGAATGACAATATCTTATGGTTAAGAAATGAAGATAGGCAAAGGCTAAACTAAAAATGCTTTTTTCTAATAAAAAAAATCTTTAAAACGTTCTAATATTTTGAAAAAAAATTAATACAGTCTTAGATTTCATTTTTTGAAAAGACAAATCTTGATTTTTTAACTTTTTGAATGGAAAAGTCCAAAAAACCGGCTAATTTTTCACTTTAACCATTTTTTACCTGTTCAGCAGTTCTGGAACCAAATTGTTAATTTTTCTAAAATAATAGGATTTTTCTGCAGATTTCAACAAAATTTGTATATAATATATAAACGTATTTTTACGTATTTATATCTATTTTATCTGCATTTGATTTTTGAAGTCTTTCCATGTCAACTTTGACCATAAATAACTTTATTTGTGTTATATAATTTTTGATGAAACTTATAACAATGAAAATACATTTAAAAAACAATTTATTCATATATCTTGCATAAAAAATTATATTACAAAAAGTAATTATTTGATGTCAAAGTTGAACAAATGAGACTTAAAAAGTCAAACGTGGACAATAATTTTGGGACGGAGGGAGAATTTATGGACTAGTTGTGATACTCGTGTATTACACGGGTTTATTTTCAAAAAAAAAATTAAATATGAAAATCTAAAAATTTAGGAAATTTGAATTTATAAGGAAAAAATATTGAATTATTGAAATGTAATGTTTAATTTGTTATTTTTGTCTTTTTTTATTTCTCTTTTAAATTTAAACAAATAATTTAAATAAATAAACAAATAAAATAATTGGCCGAACTCAAACTGAGGAGTTGGTAATCTTCTAAAAGAAAACAATTTTCTAAAAAGATTTTTGTAGAGCTCAAGTAAGTGATTCCCAGAACACTCATACATATCGATATGTTATATGATATGAATATTTGCATGTTAGGATAAAGTTGGGGATACTTGAAAGAATTGCATGATATATTGGTCGGATATGTGATGTCTTGTAGCCTAGGAAACACTGGATGTTATGCTAGTTTGGGAATATGTATTGGTACCAGTAATTGCTAAGTGTATGCTTGAAAAAATTGTATACGGTTAGGAGCACATAGCCCTAGAATCATTGATTTGGCCTTATTTACTATTCCTTGTTTGGTTATGGTCCTAGGGTAGAGTCTTTCATTCAACAATCTATTTGGTCATGTATTGTGTATAATTTGCATGCATAAGGCAACCGGCGGTGAGAGTGAAAGTTCCTATCATGAGTTATAGTAAGTGAGCAGTGGATGTTCTTTGTTTGTTCTATGGCGTGGAGTGTTACTGCACGAATGTTGTTTGTTTTGTGCTTTGTGGAACTCTTAGTGATGTGAGTTAACTATTAAGTGAATATGTTAAGTCACATGTTGCAACGGTTAAATAATCTTAGAGTGATGGATTTGACTCTATTGCGCAGCTCTCGTTTGAGTCTAACCGTTGTAGGGTTGATTTTGTTACTCGAAGGATTATCTAAGCTTTGTGGCATGTGATTATATTCATGAAGTAGTTAGCTGATATTAGTGGGAGTTCTTCAACAGCTGATGGCGGGGTGAGGTCGGGAACCTAGGAGAGCCTAAGAAGTGTTTTAATGGGTTCGTATGTGTTGTTTAGCGAGTACTTAGAGTACCAATTTGAGAAGCTGACCTGGAGGATTCGAGATAATTCTTGAGGAAAGTATGGATAGGTGTGGAAGGTAGTATTGGTCCCGTACTACTGAAAGCACAGGATCCATACTCGAATCGAGAAGAGTCACGGAGAATCTAGGAAGCCTACGGATGAGGATTCTTTGAGTATGTTCTGATTATTGCATGGTTGCTTTTTCAGAATGGTGATGAGCACTCATGGAGGAGGATCTGGTTCAGTATCAGGTGCTAGTATTGAGCCGATGGATAAGCGGATGCGGGGGTTCATCTTATCGGAGATCGTGCGCTATATTGTGGAGTAGACTCTTGCGATGTTTGGTACCATCAAGGAAGGGATCATGGAACTCTTGGATGATCGTCTCGGGGATTTCCGGGTCGAGATTGTAGCAGGACAGTTGGAGGATCATTGGGAGCTCAAGGCTTGTGGAGCCCTAGAATCTTTCGGCGGGGAGGATCCTATTGTTAGTTCTTTCCTTGAGGGATCGAAGGTGGGTTACTCATCATGCCTTCAGGGGGATCGATTTCGTGATTGGATTGCCACTGAGATTTCGTAAAATTTAAAAGAGGAGTTACCTGGCATTATTGGTCATGTCACTGACAGATTGGTCGCCAAGTTCGAGGATCAGATCTCGGTCGTTTAGGCAACTGATAAGATGGTCGAGGTGACTCGGGAGCGGGAGTTTGGTTTGGAGAGGCAACGGGGAAAGAGGAAGCAGACTCATGATCCAACTCTGCTAGAAACATCTAAGCAGATTGATGTTGTCATGCTTAGTGCTAGAGGCCTGAGGGGCCACGACATTTATGCTAAGGGTGGAGGAACCCATGAGCGTACGCACGACAAGTCCAAATGTGGCAGGTGTGGGTAGAAGGGCCACCTTCGCCAAGAATGTACCATGGAGGTAGAATTATGCCATCGTTGTCATCAGCCTGGTCACCTTAGGGAAAGTTGCCTACAATTGTTGATTGGGGCAGCTCAGGCCCCATCACCCGTGATTTTTACAGAGGGGGGGGGGAGCCAAGACTTCAAGACCTTGCAGGTATGTAATTTTTTTTCTCTCATGCATTTTAATTGCTTCTACTTGTGTGAGTGGGTTGAGACGTTATGTTCGGTTTAGTCCCCATCTAAGAATCATAGTTCCTTGTCATCGTCTGGTTAGTATTATCAAGGGTTGTTATATGCCATTTTGCATGCCAAGAGTTATGAGTGGGGCACATCTTGTTGAGCTAGAATTAGATTGGCAGGCATTTTGTTGTGGGCCACTGGTGGAAGCAAATTAGGGGTACTATTGGAAGATTAGTAGTCGTATCAGCGTGAGCTCATTTGAGTAATTAAAATTTGAGATGGTTGAGATTTTTCATGGTTGAGAGGAGTAAGGGATTGGTAAGAACGCGAGTTCAAGGGAATTGCAGCCATGTTCATATTTAAGGAATTGTAATTGTGGTCCTCGTATCAGAATCTTTTAGGAAAAGATCTCGTGGAAGGTGGGTGTCCCCATCTGATTATAGAAAGACCCGGTAAGGATCATCCTCGTAAAAGTTTATTTTTAATAAAAATATTTTATTAATCTCGTAGATTCTTTAGACATTCCCATTCTCGCACGAACCACATAGGTAGATGTAACCGCTACATTACAACAGTCAACAGAGGAGTTGAGGCAGAACCAAAAGAGGGTGCACGAGGAGGATTTCGAGAAAGAATCAGACAAAGAGAAAGACACTAGAGAGATCGTTAACAATCCTTACCCTATCGGAAACAAACTAGAGATCACTTTATAAGTCATACTAATAACTAAGAAACTAATATAACCTAGTGAGTCAGTGACTACACTACTCACAATATGCGTTAAATTACCGTACCTTTCGTCACAACTAGTAACAGTAAAATCAAGAGAGATACTTCCTTCCAAAACCTATGAAACCCGATCAACTTAAGATTTCAATATCTATATCCTACTTTGTTAAACTTAACATCTGAACAAAACCTATTAGTACTCTCTACCATGAATACATCATAGGGATGTAGGTCAAAACATTGAGAACTGCACAACAAAACGAGAAATTTATATGTATATATAAATAGATAAAGTATAACTAGAAACAACCATAATTACTTATCGACTCGTTTCACATCATGTAACAGAATTATGTCTTCACATGGAAATAACCAGCCAACCGACAAAACGCCAGTTCTGCAGATAGATTCTGCTACTTTCCAAGCTGCAGTTACGGCCGCCGTGACAGCCGTCATGGCATATTTCAATGCAAATAACGCTAGTGAAAATGAAAATGGTGTAGACAATTCAAACCGTAATAACAACCTAGGAAACCAACGAGTATCTACCTACAAGAATATCCCAACCCACAAACCTGAAAACATGAAATGAAAGTTTCGAAACGAAAAAGGAAGTAGTTCAACACAAAGACATACCAAAAAGCAACAAGCTGGAATAGTCCATACTCCCACCAACCCTACTACCCTAACACCGACAACACCGTATTTAGGAAACCTCCCACACTGCAGCAAGTGCAACTACCATCATTATGGAGTCTGCCGGGAGTTGCATTGCAAAAGGTGCAACATGAAAGGGCACATTGCCCGCTTTTGTAGGACTCTAGTGGAACACCTCACTTCAACCACCAATGTTGGAGTAAGCCCAATATGTCATTTATGTGGTGAAATGGGACATTTCAAAACAGATTGTCCAACAGAGAAGAATGACAGAGGAGCGAGAGGAGTTTAATAATAGGACATAAAGGAGCAACGAGGAACCTTCTAAGATTTTGGTACGTTTTCTAAACAACAATAATTAAACATCGAATTTTCACGAAAAATATTTGACAATTAAAATTAAAAATCATAAGTTAACACAACGTTTCATATAAAAAAACTAAGAACCCTTGCAGGTAAGCTATGATGGCTTAGTGTATACATTAGGATAATTTATAATTAAGATTTGTAGGCTTAGAGTGAGTGATTCAGCCTCATTTCTTGTTCCTTGTCTGGTTGTGGATTTGGGTCAGAGTCACTCAGTCGACTGTCTTTCCAATCTTAATTATACATGACTTGTATACACCAAGCGATTATAGTGGGACCTTGTAGGGATTATATTATGAAAGTTAATTATTTTCAATTATCAGAACACTCGCACTGCTAATATTTGTTAAATGCGGTACAAAATGTTCGCAGTAGTAATAACAAGGATAAAACTGAAAACATATACATAGAATAATTCATCGTTCTAATAATCACATCTTTCAAATCAACTTAACATTTGTTGCGATAAGAAGTTCTAATGCCATCTTTAAAAATGGATTGGTTTGGTCCTCACCATACCA